TATCTAGTTTGGTTGTAAAACCCGACCTACATATGAATATTTTACTAATCTATTCTTATTATAATCTATACTTATATAATAAGAATTAACATTTATTCAAAATAGTAGATTAAATTATGGTCAATGTTAGATTTGTATTAAATATTTTATAAAACTGGTAAGTTTTTGTCATTTTCACACTTCTCATTAATTATGTCCTTTTCACACTTCTCATAAATTCATTAATTATGACATAATTATCATAAATCATTCCATCTGAGCTTTTATCGTTAAAATGTATAGCGATATGTTATGACCTTATCCCATTGATATTTCTCATGAAGCGTCCTTATCGCGTTCTATTTTTTAGTAACCACTTTATATCAATAACCGGATATTTGGTTAATGATAGCACGCGTCTTTATTTCAAGGAACGGATATTCTTTGACCTTTAATTAATCTGAACTGATTGCCTTGACTTTTCAATTTTTAAAAACTATTTTTTTAAATATTTCGGCTTAAGATTCGGATTTCATTATACAAGTCATCGGATTGTTTGAATGAAAATGAATGAAAAGAACACCAAAAAAGGTAGCTTTATTCATATAACCAATCCTAAAATATTAGTTTGTTCACCAAAAAGAGACAAATCCTAGAAATTCTAAAATATTAGTTTGTTCACCAATCCTAAAATATTAGTTTGTTCACCAAAAATATTAGTTTGATTTTTAGGATTTGTCTCTTTTGAAAATATTAGTTTGTGATAATGAGGAGTTACCAAATAATCAAACTCATAATGTTGTGTACAAGGAGGTTTTTAATAATATATGATTGTTACCGAACTTTTTATGAATCAACAATGTTCCTATGTGTTTTAATAATTTCAATTTCGATCCTAATGCACGTGAGGTTATATTATTCTTTCAAATTTTACGTCCCGTGCATCGCATGAGTTACGTACTAGTACTAATAATATACATAGACGAGTACATTTTTATTAGAGGTTTTAATTGTTAGACATATGTGAGGAGTGAAGGAGTAACTTTTTTTATGAAAAATATATATTTTTTTACTATTAATTGTGGTAGTGAGATTGTAGATGAATAGTTTTTTGATTTTTTTTTTTTTCATTTTCAATTCAACGAGATAAATTTTAACTGAACAATCAACAATTAAAAATTTGCACCACCTATATATATAAAGTTTTAGAATTTACTTGAAATATAATGTATAATATTTTGCTAAACACCTTTAGTTACTAAAAGGAAATTCTGTAAATATATATATATATTTCATTTTTCTTGTTTAGCATTGTATATTTTATTGAAAATAGTTTTATAAGAGCACAAAGATTATTATTATTTTTTTTTTTTGTATAATTATAATGATAATTGCAAACAACTCAAATTGAATTATAGAAATTATTTAACAATGTATAGAATAATAATTATAACTATTTATCTAATGTTATATATAAAAAAAATTATTTTTAAAGCACTTTCTTCGTTATAACACCATCCAATTATGACATTTAATAACTTATGAATAACATACTACAAAATCATTAATTGATATGCATAATATCTCTCATATCTATGATATGCAAAATCTTTGTTTATGTTATAACTCGTGTTAGTACCGCGTCATCTTAATTGTATAATCAATCAATTAATTTTAAATATTTATAAAATTATCATATTTATTTTTTTGATAAATATACATAATGTAAGAAATGACTAAGTTATCTTTAGATATATAATTTATAATCTTAATATATTGTCATTCGATATAAAGATTTACTACATGAATTATAATTTTTTTTTATAAAATTAATTATATTTAAGGAAGATAAGGATACTTCTTCGGATCAATCGAGTGATTGAATTAGGTTACTACCCAGGTTGATTGAATTAACTTTATGTAATATTTAAAATAGTTCAAAAACATGACACAACTAGATAGATCTCGGTTGACCAAGTTATGAGTTAGTTTGAACAGTCCAAATCGATTAGTAAAACTAAATATAAATTTAATATTACGATTTTTCTATGGAGCCATCGGATGACACGACTTTGGATAGATGTCATCAATACATTAACTGATAGATGGTTGCATAAGAAAATCATCCAATGGCTCCACAAAATTTCTATATCTATATATATTGAAAGGAGTTGATGGAATAATTTAAAATAGTCACTTTGACTTTGTAATTAAATAGATTGACTTACTATTAAAGAAAATGTAATAAAAAATCCTATATTATTTATAAAAAATAAAATTTAAATTATACACACCTGTTGTAAATTGTGTAATTCATTTAATAACATGATTTTCTATACAAATAAAGTGATATCAATTTTAGAAATTATTTTATGATAATCATAGCATTAAAAATTTGATTCTTAATATTAGTTACGAATCACTGGAATTAATTTCTTATTCTTATGGTAATCAACCATACAACATATCTTCAAAAAAAATGTCTATTGAATATATTTCATTTTGAGAAATTATTATTTGAATATGCACGATAAAATTGCAATTATAATTACAAAACAAAAATTAAAAATCAATTATAAAAATTTTATTATGATATTTATCACAATGTTACAATATAATCTTATTTATCAACATTAATAATAAAACACATGATTTCTCATTCATTTGGTAACCAACCATATACCAAAATATTTTTTATCGTATCTTCAAAAAATTATTTAATCAAGAGGATTAGTTTAGAATCCTTTATCTGTCAATAACTCAACCATTTATTTTTTTCTAAAATTATTAACCTAATTCCCAAAATATCAAAAGAAAATTAATTTTTTATCTTTAATAACAAACCAATCTTTATCCTTAATAACAAATGACGTGTTCTCTTATTTTGTTTGTATCCAGCCATTTACAGACTGAAATATACGTGAGATCATTGCAATATGTAATTACAAAATAAATCTAGAAATCAACTGTAAAAATTTTATTGTTATAACTACAACAATACTATAATAGAACTGACATCCCAACGTTAATAACAAATCCCTATGATTTTCTATTCATTCCGTAACAAGCCATATATGAAAAATCATCTACTCAATGAACTAAAAAATATCCTTCAATTTTATCAATAAATGCACCATACTAATTTTTAAAAAATTCATATTGTAATTCACAATAACATAACAAATATCATATAAATTAATAAATTAGGAATAAAAATTAAAATAATTATAATATTATAAATAATAAAAAATAAATAATATTGATGTAATTAAAATTTAATATTTTTTTAACTTTAAAATAATATATATTACAATCTTTTTCAGTTAAGTATTGGTTATAATATTTGACACAATTTTTCAACTTTAACCTAACTTATTTTTAAATCGAAATAATATATTGTTACAAGGTATGCGGAAGAGAAGATAGAGAGAAAGAGAGAAATATTCTATGAGTATTATTATGTTAATATTCAAATACATTAAATTTTCACTATCTTTAATAATAATAAACAAAATTTAAAATGAAAATTATTTTATAACGATCGAAATAAACATATAAATCATATATTAAACTATTATATATACTAATCAATATTTTCTTCATTGTCTTAATACATGCAATTTATAATTATTGCCCCGTGCATCGCACGAACTACATACTAGTTCATTTTAGAAAGGAATGACAATCCTAATGGGAATTGAAAAACCGCCTATATGGGATAAGTCATTTCATAGCTAATGTATGATTTTCTCATTCCAATATAGTTGAGATTTATTTTTGCAGAAAATAAAACTAACAAATAACACTAAAAAATAAATATATCATATGTAATAGAAAATCGTGACTAAATTATATTCAAAAAGTTTTATTTTAAAAATAAATTTCAATAGATAAAAATAATTTTATTTTGTTCATTATTCAACTTTGGGCTGCGCTCCAAGTTGTATCTTTGCACATTTGTGCGTTTGTTTAATATTATCTCTATCGTTTTGGGAAAAAAAATTATTCAAAATTTACTTGGATGTACATAATACTTAATTAGAAATAAAATATACAAAATATGCATTTAGAAGTACATTAAAAATATTTTATTTTATTGTTATATAATCATAAATTATATATTTATTCATAAAATGAATTAAATTATAATAATTATATACAATTTCATATGTTTATAGAAATTTATGTAATGATATATTTATATTAGTTGATATATTTAGTATATAAAATGAGGATATAAAAAAATAATTATAAAAATATATATTTTTTAAATAAAAATAATAATAATATTCTCATAAATAAGAAAATAACATTATGTTAATATAAATATTAAAATTATTTTTGATAAAATACTGATAAATGACAGTATAAGATGATAATATCATTCTTTCATGTCTTATTCTTTTTGCGTATCAATCATATCAATGAAAACCTTGTTTCATTTAGTTCTTATAATCATTTCATTATTCAACTCGCTACTTTCCTATCAAATTTCAATTCATTATATCAATCATACTGCTAGATTGATTATAGAAAAGAATTGGCAAATGAGAAAGTTATTAAAGTGTGTTCTCCACAAATCCTTGAATATAAATCATGAAGCGCTGCTGTATAATGGAAACATGCGAATCAAACTCAATCAAAATTGCGAAAGGTGTAAAGTAGAAATACACCAGTCGAATGATTAAATTTGGCCCCTATTTGGTCTATGGTGAATTTTTTTCTTCAGTAATAATCATTAGAGGAGGTGAAAGTGAGGACTGATCAAACGCCTTTCTAATAGATTAAAGTATTAAACCGTAGGTGTGATTTTGTGAATGTCATGCTAAAATATAGTTGTATTTTTAACTTAAAAAAATGTCACAGCTTTAATTTTTTATTTTTTTTTTAAAAAAAAAAAGTGAACCCCAACTAACCGAGTCCCCCCAAAAGTCCACCAAAAGCAAGGTAAACATCAGTAGGACGACTCGGAAAGAATAAGACCATAAATTATATAATTCAAAACCAATGTATCTTTAATCCTCAAGATCCCCAAATCAATATCGCATGCTACAATGAGTAGAGAAGAATACTAAAATCACAAAAACATATACATAATCTTTTCACCAAACAAAATTATCAAATTATCATATATTCAAATGCAACCATCAAATTATCAAAATTATCAAATTGTCATCCACATTCTGGTTCATTGAAAAACAGCCCCATTTTCAGTAAAAGATTTGCTCCATACCACGAGAAAAAATTCACCAACACGACTAATAACATATCCGTATTGTGTTCCCTACTAAGACAGCTTCAAACATATATTCAACCACAGGAACGGCTTCTGCTACCCCACAACTCACCACCAAGAAAAAAAAAGGAATAGAAACAAAAATAAGTAAAAAATAAAAGGGCCCACAGGCTAAAGAGATTTATTTTCCTAGCTTGAAGAACTTTTCCTTGCAGCATAAACACGATATGCGGCCAACCCAACGACTGTGACAGCTGCTCCAACTGTAACCGGACAGTAGAATTTGACGTTTTATTACAATGATAGCATGCACGAGTACAACAGTACACATTAACGATAAAATTTGATCCAACATCGTTGATTATGAATTTTAATTCAGCGGGTTTCACATAAAAATTTGACATTAAATTCCCCAGAACAAGTCAACTACCCAAAACCCAGATATGCAGTATGCACAAGCATATCTTTGTCAGGTCAAATTTCAATATGCCTGAGCTCGAAAAATCTTAAGGAATAGAGATAAAAAAAAATAACTAATACATATATATCACACACATTCCAAGAGTCACAAACTACCTCTTCCCATGCGCCTACTGCAATGTGTTATAAGGTAATTTGTAAAACAAATACTAATCTCACTTTACACCTTAGAAAGTCTAAAGGTGCAATGGCAATTTTTAAAATTAACAGGATAGTTGTAATCTTTAAAGATTAACTAGGTTTTTTTAGTCAACCTGAACAGCAATTGAAAAGTTCATGAAATGGAGAAATTCTGATTTCGGTGAGCTTTGACAAAAATCTGCAATGTACCTGATATAAACATGAGCGAGCGATTAATAAGCCGATGATAATGCTTGCGGCTTTTTCCAGCCGATGTCTCAGGAATGCTTAAATGTGGGTGTTCGGCTGCTCTCACAATCCTATGAAATATGTTACTGAAATCTCCCAGCTTTGTGCTGAGAGGGATAGGAGCCTCTATCCCCATATCCTGGCTAACCTGTTCAAATTTAAATTGTCAGCTTTTCAATAAAAATATATCTATTTGATTGACATCAAAGGATACGAAACGAAAACATCTGCACTCTTTCTCCTAAATTATAAATACAATGTGAACTCATAATAGAACGTTTTCTGATGATGCAACGAGAAGGTTCTCAAGTGATATACAGACCCACATCAAATTTTCCTTGATCTACTGAAAAATAGAACATACCAAGTTTCTGGTTCATGAATTGCACACAAGATGTCAAGAACTAAACAATCAATACAGTATATTCTTTTACCACCTTGACATGTTTTTTTTTTCTTTTATTTTCTGCTTATTTAGTGGGGTGGGGTTTAGTTGTCGTATCATGAAACTCGTTTGACTGTTGAGGATTTTTACCCTTGTTGAATCTTGAATCTCTGTCAGGTAAGGGTCCAGATCATCCTTAGCAGCAACAATAAGACAGGGAACCTCATAACCAGTAGCTTCCCCTTGACTGGCCACATCCACAAGCATCTCTGTCGCTTTCTGCCAGGAAGGTTCATGAGAACTGGAACAGCCAGAACTCACGTAAATTAGAAA